TCCCGTCGCTCGCCCTGCCCTCGCCCTGCCCTCGCCCTGCCCTGTGACTCCGAGCCCTGCCCTCGCCCTGCCTTCCGACTCTGAGCTCTGCCTGACGCTGCACTCTGACCCTGGCACCTTCCCCAGGCCCTGCCACACACTTCCTGCCTCTCCTTGCATATCCCTGTGGCCCAGGGCACTTCCTCACGCAACATGTGGGACAGGCCTGGTCTGGTACCACCCCGATGTTCCGCTGGCCTCACTGCCCAAAAGGCACAAGGGGGTGCGGGAGGGGCCTTGGAAAGTGGGGGTATTCTAAGTTCAAATGCCAGCATTCCAGGGAACCAGACCTGAGCACGGAATCAGGCTCGTTGCAGACGACCTGCATGTGGAAGTCCGGGCAGCTGCTCAGCAAATCCTACGCCCCACGCTGTGTGTGAGGGCCAACACTCGCTCTTAGCCCTGGGCTGAGGCCTGCTCTCCTGAGCGCTGTCGGGTGTTGGCTTCCGGAACGCCGAGGCTCCGTGCAGGGGAACAGGTGACAGTGGTCGAGGACGGCAGCACGGCCTGCACAGGTGCCCTCACAGCAGGGAGCACAGCATGCTCTGGGGCCAGACGTGGGGACCCTGCTTCACGAGGGCCAGTGAGGACGGCGAGAAGCCAGGGGTGCTCTGTGTGCACCGGGGCAGAGCACAGTTCGGATACAGACGGGAACAGGGGAGCTGAGGCGTCCAGGGAAGAGCCAGGGCCTTGGAGAAATCCCGGACATGGCGTCCACTGAGGGAGAACCACGGCCAGAGTCGGTGGGACGGAAGATGCGGGGCCTGGACGTCAGGGCAGGAGCTCGGACCGGTGACCACGGGGTCTGCATTGCAGGCGGAGCGCTCAGCCCTGCGCGTCAGCCAAATCCTTCCCGACTTTCGCCACAGCAGGAGGGGAAGGACAAGCTGGCAGGAAGGACAGTAGGCGGCGAGACAACTGAGAGGTAAGGAAGACATGAACGGGCCGGAGCCCGCTGACCAGAACCCAGGCAAGGACGGCAGGACCTGCTCCCAGGTCACACGGGCAGGTGCGGAGGGGTCGGCGCCAGGGCAGCGAGCCAGAGTGGCAGGACGGCGCCGCTGTCAGCACCTCCATGTCCCGGGGAGACTGGTAGGCGGGGATGCCACCAGGCTCGAGCTGGGGCATGTGACATTCGAAGGCCGTGGAGAGCAGCTGGTGGCGGCCGGCAGTCTGTCTCCTGGATCCCGACCTGGGACCGGCACATCGGAGCTGAGCAATGGTGGCCTTAAAAGGTGAGCAGAGCACAGCCGCAGAGGTTAAAGGGAACGTCCAGCCAGAGGCCAGGTGGGCTCGGCCGATGCTGCACAGCCGCAGAGGTTAAAGGGAACGTCCAGCCAGAGGCCAGGTGGGCCTTCACTGCTGCGGTTAATAATAGAAGACGCCTGGGAACCAGCAGTTAGCGTAATAACAGAAGACGCCTGGCCTCGCGGTCCGCTTCTCCTTCCCCCACTGCCCTGTAAAAGAGCACTCAGGGCCGTGCGAGTCCGTCACAGACACCCCGACTACTCGGTCCCCGCTTTTCTCTACTCGTGTTTCTGTGTCTTTTCGCACATCCACTGCACTCGCCCCTTTTCACCTGGCAGGTCTCAGCACCTACCTGCGTCCCCCCACCCCTCGCCAGCCTGTGCCACTCTCACCAGCACCCTCCAACAGAGGCCAGCAGCCAGCACGGAGCTCTCTGGGCACTGGGGAAGTAGGGAGGAGTGAGGAGGGTTGGCCTAGAATCTTGAGGGTAGGCCGAGCATGGGTGCAGGGGCCTTTGCGTTGCTGCTACATTTTCTTCACTCAGCAAACCCTCAGCACTATGGTGTGGCATGCAGACGCAGAAAGCTTAGGTGCCAGGCTGAGGGACTGCTCAGGAAGACCTGAATACGGCCACGTGTGGACTGGGAGCGGCCTTCACAAGAGGCCTGGAAGAAACCGTGAGAGCAGAGACTAGAATGCAAAGGGGAAAGGAAGCGCCTTATGGCAAAAAGGGGACAAGAGCCACGAGAGCCCCAGCCGGAGAGGTGCCAGAAGAGAGGGACAGATTTGCCAGCCACCGCCGAGCACTCAGAGAAGCCCAGGAGTGAGAGGGACAGTTGTGGGTGAGTGCAGGGAGAGACGGGGTCAGAGAGCCGGGGACACGGGTGCCCGCACCGGCCGCATCGTGCCGGCAGTCTTATGCATACTCTTCCATTCGGAACTGTTCTCGCTCCAGCCTCACTCAGTGGTCGATAGCATGCATCTCCTATTCGCTGGTGTATGTAGTGGGGTCCCTGTGAGTATTTAAAATAAAAAATATTTGGACAGGTCAGTCCATAAAATAACTGCATTTATTTAGAAACACATGCTCTGTATGTTTCAGGAAACAAGCTCCAGTCGGGGCTTGCAATGTGCTGACTCTGTGAGGGGGCTGCTGGAATTGTCTGGACCATTTGTACAACTTCTGTTAGAAGTTTAAAAACTTACCCACTTGTAAAATTATAGTGTTAGAGAGGTAGGAGATAGCCACGCACACATATAGTTAAGGTATTGCCTTACAAAATGGAGCCACTGTGGTCAAGCCTGTAATAGAATCACTCGCTGCTCTCACTGGAAGTCGGTGACCAGCTCGCACTGCCTGCTCACGCCCAGAACTGCTCACAGCCAGAGCTGCTCACACCTGCCTGAGACAAGGACGGCTGAAGCTAGCATCTTCCATGTCGCTGCTGCATCCAGAGTGGCGTCTCTCTCGGTCTGAGCGCAGAGAGGGAAGGACCTTGAGCAGTGACTTGCCACGAGCTATCGTTTGAGAGATGGGAACATGACCTGCAGGCTGGCACCAGAGATAAGGGGTCTAAGTGAGTTCACGTTTAAGGGGAGATTCATCCAAGTCTCACCTGAGACTTGTGGAAGAAGGTAAAAACTAGAAAGTGCGTGGGCCGCAGACCTCAGACACAGATCTGCTGGTGTTGATTCACCAAGGTCTGAAAGTCCGAAGTCTCGTGTTTGTGAGCCCCCTCCCAAGTAGGACGACGCGAGTCACCTGACACGTAGCCCCCACGAGGAAATGCAAGCACAAGTCCCTCCTTGCTGGGATAAAAGCCCCTCACCCCAGCTCCTTTTTGGCAATCCATTCCTGGGACCTATCCCTGCTTGGGAGCTCCGTTTTCCTCTCTGGGGTTAATAAACTCCACTTTGCTATCCCCTCCCTGTGTCCACGTCTCTAATTCTTCGTGAACGTGAGACGAGTGGTCATCTTGTGGCTCTGATTCAGCACTGGTGTTGGGCCTGATCCCCCAACTTCCTGCATCATTAGACATTATTTTGAGCAGTCTTCTGATTCTTACCAACAACAAAAGAAAACACAGGCAGTCTATGATTCTAGACAGATTCTAATGGCTGATTGTGCTCTGAAATCAGATCAACAGATTCCTTCATGTAAACTCCTGATCTCCATTGATAAGACAGTGGCTAAAGCCTTGTCAGATCGGACAATTGACTTGGAAGCTGCTTATCCAGTGTCATCAAGGCGGCCAGCTATGGGGGCTCAGATCATCCCGAGGGGTTGGCTGGCTGCCCTAAGGCATGTGCAGGTCAAACTGGCTGGCAGCAGTCACAAGGGCTCACAGCTGGGTCTGGGCCTCTGCTCTGTCTGTGGGGCTGGTCTGTCCCTCAGTCTGCGGCCTGGCCATGTTCTTGGACTCCATGTGCTCGACCAGCCCGTAGGCCGCCATGGTGAGGCCCAGGACGCCCAGCAGGATGTAGAGCTTGACGCTGACACACAGGAACGTGCTATACCCAAAGGCCACGACGAAGCCCAGGGCTTCCCACAGGCGGTAGTTGGCGAAGGCGGCTTCCTTGTCCTTCTCGAAGAGAACGCCGTAAAGGGCTGCAAAGGAGAGACTGCGGTGAGGCCGGCCGACCCCTAATTCTGCTGCTGCAGGAAACACTGCAGGGTTCCCACCACCCAGTGCTCGCCGTCAAAGTGGGATGTTTGCTTTTTATATTTTTAAGAGGTTTTTGCCTTACGGCACTTGTGCTCACTGGAAAGGGATAAAGACAGACATGGTGAAGGGGCAGGGAGAGATCACCCCCAGCGGGGATGGCCACGCCACACCCCCTTCTCCTCTACTCTCCTTCCAGGGTCTGGGGCATGCCTGTGCATGTGCCTGGCATAATTTTCAAGCCACCAGGTCTGGGACTTGAACCGTGGTCAACCATGTAGGAGTCCAGCGATGTACCGCTACACCATCTGCTGATCCCTGTTTTACTTTTTACAGACACACGTGTTGTATGTGTGGATTACAACGAGTCGTGGCGTCACGTCTAAGAAACCATTCAGGAGACGCTGCATGGTAGGAGCCTTGGCCCTGCCCTCGAGTGTCTATCGGAAAAGCGAAGGGGAGTGTGACCAGCCTGAGCGTGGGCAGAGAGAAGTGGAGACAAAGCAAGTGACACTCATGATTCACTTGGGGCTGCCTCTGGAAATGGGGAGCACAGTTCTGGCAGGTGGGCTCAGCCTCAACTTCGGGATGAGCACAGCCGTCAGTACTAGTCTGCCGTGTGGACTCCATTCCCATCCGAGGGCCCAGGGAGTAAGAGGGGCCTCTTGGGGACATTCCAGCGTCCATACTCCCAACCACGCCTGACGGAAGCATGAGTCTTAACCAGAGGGCCTGGAAGACCTGCTGCTGTCTGACTGTGTCCTGACTCATGGACTGAACTACAGGGCTGGAAGCGCCTGGCCAGCCGCAGGTTCTAATCCCCGGGCCAGCCTGAACTGTGCTGGTGTGTGCGTGTGCGCCCAGGGTCCTGGGGGGCCAGAGCAGGTGATGAGCATCTGGTGACGCCATCATGGTGGGCCTGTGATTGGCCCTGCAGGTCTGCGGAGAGGGCGAGGGACAGACACGTGGGTGCCCTCGGGCTCTGCTCTCCACATGCAACACCCTGCTTGGCTCTGCGGCTCTGTGCCCCCACCCAGACGTGGCCTTTGGCCCTGGACCTCCAAAACCATGAGCTAAGCAGACCATGTCCTCTAGAAATCTCTCCGGGGTGCAGCCGCTAGCTGGAGGATGGACTGAGGCGAGACTGCAGGGACAGCGGAGGCTGGGAGACGAGCTGGGCTGTGCTGCGGCCGGGTCCCCTCCTGCTGGGTCCTGGCCCTGCTCTCAGAGTGGGCGGAACCGCACAGTGCATGGCACGTCCTGAGCTCTGCGGGGACCTGTCCTGAAAACACACGCTAACGTGTTTCCCACTGCCACCCCGACAGCTATGGGCGCAGTCGGCGTGCAGACCCAGCTCCCAGCGTCGTCCTCCAGCTCAGTGTGTGCGGGCTCCCGGCCGGGGTGCTGACTCCAGGGCCAGAGCAGGGACACACGGGAAGTCCGAACTGCCTCACAGTGCCGCAGTGACGCAGCACTCGTGTACGCGTGTGCACATGCGCGTGTAGGGGGTCAAGAAGACCATGGAAAAATGCAATTAGAGCAGAAGCTTGTTAGGTTTTGCAAAAATAAAAATAAGTAAATCCATGCACTCTTCCTTACTCAGGAGGAGGGTGCGTCAGGAGGCGGCTGTGGGAGGGAAGTTTGGGGGCTGTCCCCCAGCCTGGCCACGCGAGGGCGTGTGTGGACACACGGCTGTACTCAGCGCCCGCTCCTGTGTTCGCAGTGCGGCAGGCCGGTGTGAAGGCAATGCCACGGTCTCCCGGGGCCGGCCTGCGAGGTCGGTCTCCCGGAGGGGCTTTCTGGTGTTTGGGGCAGATCTTAGGAGGACAAGGCCGCCCAGTCGTGAGGCTGCGAATAAGGGGCTCAGTCCAGGCAGGAGCCCGGACAGCAAGGTGCTGCTCCACACAGGCGTGGGCCACCCTGGTACAGGATGAGGGACGTTCTGCTCCCATTCCAAGACGGCTCTGTGTTCTGTTGTGTTCTTTTTTTCCCTGAACTTTTAAAATCTTCTCTCTGGATTTAAAGAGAGTAATGGAAAACAGAAGGTCTCTGTGTCTGCGCGTGCGTGCGTGTGCCACGCCAGCCGGGGGGGGAGACGGCGGCACGGCTGTGAGCAGATGCAGGCTCTCCAGGGCACTACTCAAACTTTGGTTCCTGTTTTCATCCAAGCACAAAGGAAGCACGTTGTCTATCGCATCGAAATGTACAGAAATAGCAGCAGATAGAGACAAGGTGGGCGAAGGGGAGAGCCCCTGGGAAATGCGGAAAGCAGACGGAATTCCTTCAACGGCTCGGGGACGCTGAGTAACGTGGGCCGGTGCTCGTCCCCCATGGGAAGTGGGTTCTGAGTCAGAGAGAAGCAGCAGGCCGGCCCTGGGAGGGCTGCAGTGGAGCTGTAGTGCCGGGCGTGTCAGGACGCATCACGGAAGTCGGCGTGTGCATCCGCGGGACAGCACACGTGTGTGGGTTCTCTCACCCTGCCTACAGGGCAGCACACATGTGTGGGTTCTCTCACCCTGCCTATAGGGCAGCACACGTGTGTGGGTTCTCTCACTCTGCCTACCAGCCCTGGACCGCCGCCTCGGCAGCTGTGAGCAGGGGCAGCACTCAGGCTCTCCAGCACCGAGGGAAATGCTGAGCCCAGGCAGGAGCAGGGAAGACGCATGATGAGAAAGACCTCGCGGTCCCAGACATAGGACAGTACTGAGCACGGGCCTGAGTATGGCACGGCGCGGAGCCGCCGCAGACCCCCAGCACCAAAGCGGGACAGTGCGGGCACAGAACTCGCAGCCTGGGCGGTGCCCCAAGGGTACACTGGAGTCTGAGTCACAGACACATACTCTGTGGAGGGCGAAGGGACAAGACTCCTTCTAGAAAACTGGATGCAGACTCCTCCCTCAGGTGGGGCCTGGTTCTGGCCTATCGTCAGCTGGACTTGGGACTCGCTTCCAAAGAATGGAACACAGAATGGAGACTGGTGTTTCCCTACTGCGGCCACCAGGCAGGTGCCACGTCAGCCAGGTCGGCCCCGCGGCCAGGGCTAAGCTGTGCCCCGATGCCCTGGTGTGGGTGGGTGTGCTTCACTCCAGCTCTCCCCCATGGCCCACGGCCCACGGCCCACGGCCCACGGCCCAGCTGCATCGTGAGGAAGCACCGCGCAGAACCCGACGGAGGCCCACCTGTGTGCAGTCGCTCTCCCAAAGGACCAAAGTCACGGAAACGAGGGAAACGAGGGACGGCCACAGGCCAGACTGAGATGACGACTGGCCCAGCGTGGCCCTGCATCCAGGACGGGCCCCGAAGCAGAAGGACACCCACGCGGGGCTGTGCACCGCTAACGGCACGTCCCAGCGCTCTCCGTGAGGACGGGAGCTGCCGGCTGTCGGGAGCCTGAGCAAGGCGCCCACGGCAACTCCCCGAAATGAGTTCGTCCCTTTCTTACAAATCTGAGACTTCCAAAGTGAAAAAGCTCATTTAAAAAGCTGTCAGCCTGGCCCATGATGTGGCGTGAGGTCGCCCAGGGTGGAAGTGACAACGGCTGCGCCCGGGGGGAAAGGTACAACGGCTGGCGGCTGGCACCATCCAGAGACGCATGACCTGAGCGAGAGGCCAGCCAGTCTTGTTTGGTTGGAAAAGACAGGATAAATAGACAAGGCGTTAAGAAGTCCTATTTTTTGGGATCAGCAGTTGGCGTAATGGCTATGCCACTGGACTCCCATGTAGTCAACCACGGTTCGAGTCCCAGACCTGGTGGCTTAAAACTCACGCCAGGCACGTGTGCGTGTGTGCCCAAGATCCGGAGAGGAGAATGGAGGGGAAGGGATTGCGGCGTGACCATCCCCCCAGGGGATGATTTCTCGCTTTCTGTCTCTCTGTCTCTCTCTCTCTCTTTCTGGCGAGCGCACGTGCCCTATACCAGAAACCTCTCCAAAAAAGAAAAACAAAGTCCTATTTTCTGAGTTGATCAGTGAACACAGCCCCTTCGGCCCTACCAGGGCAAAGGAGCATTTTCAGACGCCACGTCTTTGTTTCCACTGCGCAGCGCATGAGGTTGCTATGGCAACGGCCTGTCTTATCAGCTGTCCCAGGGAAAGGCAGATAGGAGTGACCGCACACATCCCCTGCCGCAGCGGCCGGTGTTGTCCCGGGAGCCTTGTGGGAATGCGGCTGTGAGTCGCAGCTCTGCCCCAGCGAGGGAGCCAGTGGCTCCGTGGTCTGACTGTGGAGCTGGAGGGCTGTGTGCAGCAGGTTTTAAAGTGAGGCTGGAAAGAGAATCACATTGTGCCGAAATTCCTTCAGTGTATTCATTAGGGAAGCACGTGGCCATGTACTCTCCTAAAAGAGACACATTTGAGGAAAAGATGTAAAATCCAGCTTACTGTTAAAAATAATGAGCACAAGCTCTTCTTGAGACATGGCCAGAGCTCCGACTGTTGAAGCTCTGAGGTGCTGCTCTGCGAATGCACACTGCTCCCCACGGAGCCAGCCCGCAGGGCCACGCTGTCCGGTCAGGCTGCTCAGCCGCCAGCGTGTGAGAATGCGGGGTCCCTCGTTTCACGTACAAGAAGACAAATAATTTCAAGTTAGCATCCCTCATTCAAGGAAGACTTCAGTCAAGCTATTCAGGTTTTGAAGACTCGGATTATTTACTAGACCCGTGCTAACGTTGCACAATTTCGCCACAGGCGTTCCTGAGTCTCACACAATGTGAAGTTAAAGCAATCATTCATGTATTTCGGGGAGAAAGGAAGCCTCCCACTTCTCACTATTTTAAACATTTAGAGAATTGTCACATGAATGAACGTGAGGCTCTTTAACCCAGGCCCTTACTTTACTTTCCATATATGAAAACTTTCCAGAGCTCAGACGAGGGCTGGATCTGGAGCAGTGGTGACGCTCTGTGCTGTGGGAACCAGATCCCACGTGGCTGGCCACTGCTCGAGTCCTGGCCCCGGAAGCCTGAAAAGCACACTGCAGCCCTGCACGCACGTGCCCCGGGTCCTGACAGCATGGAGGCATGAAGGAAAGGCCCACGGCGTGACCACAGCACTCTGGGAGGGGTCTCTCTAGCAGGTGCGTCCATTCTAGGGTGGGGCACACTCTCAGGTGCTTAGTAACATGTGGGACTCCTTCGTATGCCTCGGAGATGCAGCGACGACCTGATGCTCGCTGTGGCAGGTCCGGGGTGCTCACAGGGGTGCGGTGGGCCAGAGAGCCCCAGCGAGCTTGTCTCCCTCCCTGCCCTCACTCAGTATCTGCTTTGCTAAGCACGTGTGGCCCAGCTAGGATGGTGCCCTCAGTCACCCCGTCCCCTCTGAGCCCTCAGTCACCCCGTCCCCACTGTGCCCTCAGTGTGGCTGTCAGGGCCTCTCCTTCAGCCTCAGCAGCCTCCAGCCTCCACTGCCCACTGTGCCCTCTTCACGGTGGCCTGGCCTGGAGGAGCTTACCCGGGGCTGGCTGCGGCTCAGCTCAGAGCGTGGCTCTCTGCTCCCACCCGTCTTCTGCATAGGCGGGTCAGCATGGGCAGCCTTCGCGGGGCTGGCCTTTTGGTGTTCCCACCTGGGGACGCGTGCGAGCCTTGTGTTCTGTGGAGGCCATACAGGGGCGCTCACAGGATGGCTTGGCTCTCCACGTGCAGCCTGGCACTCGGTAATGACCCAAGGCCGTCGCCCCTTCGGTGTGAGCTGGCTCCACGGGGGTGCTGCCCCGGGCTGGAGCAAACTGTGGCCGGGAGGTTCAGCCTGAATGTGCTTGGACGTACCAGCCCCACCGGGGACGGTCTGCCGGTCTGCACCCCATCGCAGGTGGGGCACCTGTGGCCCTTGCCCACAGGTGACGTCGGGAATGACCGGGACGGGCCAGCCACGTGCGTGTGGGAAGTGTGGCCTGTTAGGGCTGCACTGACGGCTACTCCAGGATGGCGTGGTCTTCCGGCGTGGACCGCCAACTCCTCTCGGCCAGGGACAGTGCCTCCTCAGCGCCCCACCCTGGCCCTGGGAGAGGCAGCCGTCTGTACGTGGGGTACACGCCCCACCCCACTCACGCCTTCCAGCCGTTCATCCTGCTCCTGGGGGTCAACCTCCCTCGTCCGATCCCCCCTCCCCGCCTCTCGTCTCACGCAGCCCTTAACTCTGAAACTAAAAACAGCCCTAATACGTGACACTGTCAGCCTCGCCCACCTCCACCCTGCATCTGCTCCACTTGACGGCAGGATCCAGAAGCCTGCCCTGCCCCGCTGTCCCCC